AACCAAGATTCACGGAAAAGTTTTTCTGAGAATCTTGGTTCTTGGTTCCCAGGAAATACTGAAATTTCAGTAAAATACTGAAATTTCAGTATTTTCCAGGAACCAAGAACCAAGAACCAAGATTCTCAGGAAAAACTTTTCCAGGAATCTTGGTTCTTGGTTCCTGGAAAATACTGAAATTTCAGTATTTTACTGAAATTTCAGAATTTTACTGAAATTTCAATATTTTACTGAAATTTCAGTATTTGTCCTTATCATATTGAATCTGCATTACATTTTTAACATTATGTAATTTGTCTGGAATGGAAGGATATATTCTACATATATGCGTATATATGTATATGTATGGTAAGTATATAGAGACCTCCCTCCACATCAAAAGGTAGGTTTTGGGGGGGGGTACCATATATATATATATAACCCTATAATATCCCCCTATCAATGGGTCCCTGCATGAGCGTGAGGGCCATACCTCTGGCACCTGCTGCGCGCCCGGAGCTAAGCTGGACTGCTGCCAGGAGCCTTAGCAGGGGAAAAGAGATTTACTATTGTATTATCATATTCTTAGAATGGTATTGTTGTATGGCTATTAGAATGTTGATATATTGCTATTAATTCAAGGGATGGGGTTTAGAGGTTGTGGTCTAGGGACTCGGGTTTAGGAGTCAGGGTTCAGAGGACTAGAACACAAATGATTTATTCATGATTATAGATGTCCAGGAGGTATGGGGAAGTGTGGCAGCCCTTTTGGGAACAGTCCTGCTATGTCCTGTAGTGTGAAGAGGACCCTGGGGTTTGTAAAGCTGTTGGCTTTCCTAGTGTGACACAGCTGCTGTGTTTATGATAGATCAAGGCCTATAGTCTAAAGATTTATCTTGTTGGAAGTGCACTTCTACGACATCCTTGTTGGAGCGATGGTGGCTGCTGTAACGGGTAAGAACTTGGGTTGAATTCTCCTCCTCGATCTCAGGCCTCCGGATTCATGTTGCCACCACGGTGTAAGGTTATATGGTTAGCGGTATTTTCCCACAGATCACGACAGCAAGCCTCGCCTCTGCAGATTTCAGTTCCAGACGCTGGTGAGTTGGCGCGCGCCCGGGTTTTTGTCTTACTTCCGGTAGGAGGGGATTGAAGGATGGAAAGTATTCAGTTCTTGGGAATCAAATAGGAGCTACTTCAAGCATCCATTGCTTCATGCCCTGCTTACTAGAGGTAAGTTATGGGGGTCTGCAGGCCATCGGCGCTGGCAAGCATCGGAGGGCTTTAAAAGTCTGACTTGCAAAGCCCAAAGCCTGAATGCATTTAATGCTTCTTCATTCCACCATGCGAAGCCTGGAGAGTGGGATACAGTTAAAAGCTGAAAATATTGTGCCTCCATAGCATCTCCTCAAACATGCGTGTGGGAAGTTCAGATTCATTTCAACCCATTAAGATGTGAAAAGGCGTCAGTTGGTTGCAGCTTTGCTGCTTAGACTGTCAAGGGGCATGCGAAAGCGCAAGCCCGCGAATACATACCCGAAGAAGCTTCTGACAACCCCTCCAAGACCAACATATGATCTAATGAAGCAAGCGCAAAACCCATCTTAGCTTAATAGGGCCCAACGCCAAATCCCTACAAGCCCCCTGTAAATTATGGAAAAGAAAGATGTGTCCGTTTCATTTTCCATGTTCTTCCCCATGTTATTCTGATTATTAAAGGTAGCCCTTTTTGCTTGAACCTGGCTCGAAGACGGAACCCTTCACCAGCATTCTCTCTCTATACGCGCCATTGAAAAGGAGCATCGGTTTGGGGTAGCTTCGTGTCCTTTGCCTGCCATCTCCTCCCCAAACTTTCCAACCCTCAATGTGCCTTGCATTTGTTCGAAGAACATCGCCCTTCCCACCATGATAATGTTGGCAGTTGTCTCACGCAGATCTCTGGGCGAATCTCAAATTCAGATTCCCGCCAAAACCCCTTATAGCCCGGATATGAGCCCCACATGATTCCCCACATCAGGCATTGGATCGGGTTTTAGATCCTTCGGGCTTCTGGGTAGTGGTTCACTGCAGGAGAAGCCCTCCGCGTGCTCTGCGTACCCAAGCTGCGTAGCCGCCGGGCTCACCGAAGGAGCCTGCTGCCCGTCCGAGGCAGGGAGCTCCCAGTCCTGTTCCCAGGCCCCCTCAAGGATCCAAAAATGGAACCCCAAAAAATGACCCCCATTACTACATATTGGAAACTAGGGGATTTTGGGGAGCTCAAGGAGCTCAGGGTTTAGGTTTGGGAAGCTTCCAGTCCTGTTGGTGTGTTCTAATATTTTCTGATTTTGGCCCTAAAGCCTAAACCCCAAACCCCCAACAAACAGCTCAAATTGGTTTTTTGCGGTGTTAGAAGACAGATTGGGTCCTACAATCAAGCTTCAGAGTAGAGGGGCTCTGACTTGAGAATTGTGGATTTACATTTTGTATCTAAGCTTGAGGTTTGGAGTTGCGTGCTTTAAAGTTTTAGGTTTGGAGGTGCAGTGGATGATTAAGCTTATGGGCAATTTTTTTCTGAGGCAGTTTTTGCTACAGGGGCCTGTAGAACATGCAAACAACATTGCAGTCGTTTACATCACGGTGCTCTGGACCAAGTCGGAACCGTATTAAGGGAAGATTCGAGCCCCTCGTCAGCGTTGACTTCAATACAGACCTGGTTGCACCTTAAAGTTGTGAGAGGTTTTGCATAAGGACCTGGTGTCAATTGTACAAGTCTAAACAACTACCAACAGGATTCCTTTATAACTCAAGAATTATGGGCTCACAGCTTAGGTTTGGGGCATGGAGATTCATGATATCCATAAGCACATCCTCTTTCGGAGTACAAGGACAGCATTGGAGCTGAATCCCAAAATCCTATAGCTCTGAAATCCACAAACCCGAAGCCCAAACTCCCTCGGTTCCATGAAAGCACATACTGGGCGTTTCTCCACAATTGGGACACCAAACGGAACCCACCAAACAAGCAACCCAACATGATCCGATGTACTACATTCTACACTCCTTAATTCTGAAATTTTTGAAGACATGGCGACCCCACATGATCCTATCTACCACACTACAGACTCCTTCTTAACCAAGTTAAGACATGCCCGGTGTCAAGGACCTTTACTTGGACTGCTGCCGGACACCAAGCGAGGAGGAGCTGCCTCCGGCGATCCCTGAAGGCGGACTTGGCTTTGGGGCTAGGGTTTAGGGTTTAGGGAGGTTTATATCGCGAATTCAGAACTATGCAGGAAGACGTAGAAGACGAGGCCTTCAGGTTGTTGATTGTTAGTAGGTTCCAACACGGCATTCCATTGTTTGGGTGCATTGCAACTTGTGCACCTTAGTCCACCTCCTAGATATTTGTTGTGGCCTAGGAGAGGATCTTTAATGGCTGAGACCAAGCAAAAGAGGATATTTTGTTGTATTTGCTCGGTGGTCATGTAGCTCTTGTGATGGCACGCCCGTCTTCCTCCGCCCCCCACTTTGAATTTGGACGTGACTTGGATCGAAAAGCTTGAGGGTGAGTAAGCTGGTGTTCAAGCTTTAAAGCCGGACGAGACTTGGAGCAAAAAAACTTGAGTATGAGTAAGCTGCTGTTCAAGATCAGTTGACAGCTTTCCTTTTTTCAATCTTGAGGCGTATCGTGGTCTCCACATCATGGTTTCCGTTTTCATTGCTGAGCTGGGATGTTGATATCTGGACTGCACCGGTAGATTTTGGTGGGGTTTGGAAAGGAGCTGTGCTCGAAGAAGTCAGTAGGCGGCAGATTTCCTGCGCAAGGATCCTCCAGTTCGGGGAGGTGCCGCTCTGAATGTGTAATTTGGCTTGACATAGCCCCAATCAGAGACGTTATCGGCAGCAGTTTTGGTAGGCTTTGTTGCATGGCGGGGGGGCACGTGAAGACTTGCAGCCTTTGTAGCCTGGTTTGCACAGGCGACCTGAAACCTCGCCATTGTAGATATGGCAAGCAAAGCTTCCATAGTGGATGAACAAATCCTCCACTAACTTATATAGATATATGTATATACTAACCAACAATCCTAGAAATTCTGGTGGTGTAATATACTCGGGGTTATGCAGGATTTTGTCCCTCAACTGCATGGCCTGTTTCATGAAGGCAGTAGCTGTTCATCTTTCCCGGCCTGCGTGGAGCTCAACCTGACAGAAGGCTCAGCCCTCTTGGCAACTAATGGACGTGAACGTCTGAAACATTGGGTAAGAGCTTTACTTGCTGGTGTCTAAGAGGGAGTTGAGTAGTGAAGATCAGTACATTAATGGGGGTTATTCTTGGGATGACTTGCCACCCTCGCGTAAGCACCAGTGAGACTTGGTCAAATGTAGCAAACGTCTTGTTTGAGGCCAAGACGGAAAGATGTTTTGCATAAGTGTTGCTGCGCAATCCGACCAGCTAAATCATGGCTTGGGTTCACTCCGGCTGCAGTTTGAGGCTTGAAGGTTCAACTAGAGATTTGCTTTTGCTACGTGACTTGTCATCAGTGCGTTCAGGGGAGAACAATTCGCTGGAACCTAAGAACCACTTGCGAAAGCCGAAAGCCCCAAGCCAATTCTGGACACAAGAAGTTCTTGCTGTTGAAGGATCCTGGTGAAAGTTGAGATGTTTCTTCATGACGAGCAGTGGGATTTCCGAGAATATCAACCCAGGATGAATTAGCGAAGGCTGCTGTCCTAAACAATGCACTCAATTTGTTTGATGTGAGTCTTTCCGGTTGTCTCTATTTAAAAAAAAAAAAAAAAAAAAAGCGATGAGGGCCCCTTCTCTTTTGCAGCTGTCTAGCCCAAACCAGTGACCCTATACTTACTCCTGGTTAGTAGGGTATAGGAGGATATTATCCTTGCATAAGACATTCCGGTATTCTCCCCTGACCTTCACTTTGTATAGTATCCATCGAAGCCAGGAGCTTGCTGCCCGACGTTTGACAACGTCACCCTGGAGTGTCGCTTGACCTTAAAGGCATAAACTTTGAAGTGAGTAGGGTCATGATATGACTGAAGCAGCTTATGTGGCATGATCGGGGCAGTAGTAGTCATGTGGCATGGTGAGCGAATGTAGTCCGATTGCATGTTCTTCTTCGGATTGTGGCGCTACATCCTTGCCAGGAGTTGAAACCAAACTTTGGAACTGAAAAGTATCATCGCCCTTGCAAACAGCTTGCTCTCAAACACACTGTCCCTTGGTCCTTGAAAGGCTCTAGCGAGTAAAATTGCCCAGCAGTAGAACAGAGTCACGGCATTGCAGCATTGAAAACAATCTGGCAATGTTCTTGACCTTTCTATTCTCAAGCCCAACGCTACCGCACGGACCTGCACAAACATTCTGCCACAGTCTATACAGATGAATCCGGCAGCCCGAACCATCGTGAACGGCGACCACAAAGTTCTCCAGCGTCTGATCCCACACAACACGCGCTTCAGGTTGCCACAGCGGGCAATATGAGCCTAGCGATGACGAGGATGACGATGACTAGGGCGAAGATGCGGATGTGCTTTGGCGCCATTAAAGGCCTTAGTTCGCTAGCTGAAGGACAACGATTTGGAGTCAAACGATCAGGCTCCAGTTTGTTTTGGAGTCAAGGGATTGGAGGAAGTGCGATTGTTTCTTCGTTTCCCACTGAACATGATTCGCGCGGGCGGTGAGGCAAAACTTGCTGTCGTTGTCACGCGCACATGTGTCCCGAAATTGGAAGCAGATTGATGGGTTAGATTCAGGAGTGCCAGTACACGTGTCAAGTATATGTCATATCCGTGGTGCCTGCAGCTGCAGCAGTAGGCATTCGAATCCCCAGCATGCGCATTCAGCATGCAACTGGTGAGATGAGTAAGTAGCGCTATCCCTGCAAAAAAGGAAGCTGTCCTTCTGCTTTGAAGAAGCTCCGTGTATTTTGATGAGGGCTCGTACAAATGACCAGAAAACATAAGCTCACCTGGCCTAGTACGTGGGTTAAGGTTGCAGAAGAGCTGCACACACAGCACGGAGACGTCGAACGCAGTAGCTGCCTCAGATTCAAGGCAAGTTTCGCATTATTCTATACTTGTGGGTCCTGCGAGCACTCTTGGGGTCATGTTGTGATTCCCAGCCTAGGGCATCGGTTGTTCGCCAGGTTATAACTCTTTAGGGTACTGTAGCATCACATGCAGTATCTCTGTTGCTTTGGGACCTTTGTCGGATCATGCGAACATAGAGATGGTCAGACTGCATTTTTGCAAGATGAAGTTGCACAACAACCTAAGTTGCCTGTATTGTCATGGTGTGCTGCAGTGTCTTCTAGGAATCAACTTCATTCATCTTACTGATTCTTAGTAGGGATTAAGGGAATAGAATCCATACATAATGCTTACGATATCTTCCCCCATTCCTACTAAAAACCAGTAAGTTATTGGAGGCCACCATCCACCTTTTCAGCTTGAAAGTTGCAGTCTCTGGTATACTAATGTGGGCCTTGTCTCGTTTGCATATAGCTATAGTCTAAACTCCTTTAAAGGGGATTATGTAGGGGACTATTATAGGGGTTGGTAAGGGGGATACTAGGAGCTCATATGAAGGTTGTGAGAATTTGAAAATACACCATATTCCTACAGAACCACCCCGTTCGGAGAACCCTCCACATGTTGCAAGTGCCTTTCATTGCTTTGAAAATATTAGCGAGATTCTGGATTGCGTTATTTGCCATGGTAACTCTGCAATATTTCTACAACTTGGGTCAGGCCCCCGCGGACTAATAGTAGCGTTGTAGATGTATGTATGAACTCGAGTATAGTAATGCTTACCCCTTGTGGTCGCCATTCTTGCGCGGAGGCCTGCCCGGACGTACCGAAACTCGAAAAAAAACACGTACTGGTGCATGGTAGAAAACAAGGGAACATAGTCCCAATATAATTCTTATTTAATAGATTCCCAAAATCCTTAGCAACCTCCATCAAGAACAGCAAAAGGTCAGCCAGCTGGAGAAATCTAGGCTTAGTGAGATGCGGGTGGCAGAAGCCTTCCTGTCCTTGGCATTTGGGGTCTAGCTGCTTCACTTCTGTTACAAGAATCCTCTAACGCAAGGGCAGATGGGGCTTGCTCAGAATGATAGGGTCCGTATGGGGTTCTTAGGATGGGGATGTGCGGGCACTGTAACTGGGAAGTATCCACCTGCATCATTGGGCTTGGAGATCCCTCACACTGTCACAGAAATTCTCAAGATGTGCCTAAGATAGCCGCAGTCGGATTTGCCCAAGCGTGTCAAATGTCAGTGCTACAGCGCCCGAGTTCACAATCATCCTAAACTCCGGGCTCCAGGAAAACTGGCGGAAGTGGCCCTCATTGGAGGGAATGTTGTGCAGATAGGAAACACACAACCTGGCCAAAACCTGTCATAAAAAGAGTCCTGAAAGTATGGTTGAAAGTATGGTTGCGACAACCGGACTTGTCGCCACATCCGGGAATTTCACCTCAAGCTAGGCATTATGCCCTAATGCCCGGGTAGGTGTACTTTGGTGCTACACCCACGCAATAACACTGGGGCAAGTCATCGACAAGGACTTGCTTTA